TGTTTTCCCTCTCTCCTTAGGAAACAAGTAGGTGTGTCCACGCTTGAATTTGTCACTGTGCTCCATTTCTGCAGACAGTGATGTGGCTGGCACCGGGACTCGCAAACTCCGTGCCCACAAACAGCTGCACCCTCCGGTCCCAGCAGGTGCACGCGCAGAGCCCAGCTAAAACTCATTGCAAGAACAATGGAGCCCTTATGACGCCGAGGGACAAGGCCCGATGTTCACCACGGCTGCACTACATTAGACGAGGGAAAGAGCTAGAAACTCAGCCTCCGTTCTCTGGGGTTGGGCCTTTTGGTCCCAGGATCAGAGCCTCAGACACAGCCAGGCCCAGCAGCTATCAGTGATAGGGCTCGGCCCAACGAAGAGTTAGTGGTATTAAAAAGCAACAACAACACACACAATCCCTCCAGAAAATGTATCCCCCTCCTTTTAACACATCTTCTCCTCCCGCGGGGGGGGGGGGCTGCATTGCCACAGTCACCAAGTTTACATTCACATCCAAATATGCACACACACAAAAAATTACCGATGCATCTCACTCCCCGGTGACTTTGTAACAGGTTGCTAGGTAACAGTGCACACAAGTCAGGTTTCAGGACCTTTAGTAAGCCACCGTAAAATCGCTGCATGGGCCTTGTGCATAAACAGTGTGCATTTGTTATCTGTTTTCTCCTGCCGATTGATCGGTCGGCAAATACTTCGGCTGCCAAACCGTAAACAAGTCCCCATCAATAGCTAGCTGAGAAAACAGATCACAGCATGAGGCTTTGGTGCACATTTTTACCCCGGCCTACCAACTGGCTTCTGCGCTGGGGAAGCTCCTGTTTGCAATTCTGGTTCCCAGCAGCCCCGGGCCTTATGTTACCCTCCCAGAGACTGGGCTGGAGCTAGTTAGAGCCGGATGTGGGGCACCCGGGGCTGAGCTGAGCAGGAGTGGTGTATCGTACCCCAAGTATTTTACCCAATCCTCCCTTCATCCCTTCCTGCAGCTCTGAAAAACGTCCTGGGGTGGTGGAGTAAAGGGAATAACCCCTTCCTAAGAGTTACTCACCCCGACTTAGTTTTCCCGTTGGTAAGGAGATGTCCGCCCCCTATCTAAGCTAGGCTAAGTGAAGATGCCATTTGCACTAGAAGAACCCAGAAAAGGGGCCCCTTGTGCTGTACTGTCGGCGGGAGAGACCACCAAGAAAGGACCAAGGATGCTCCGGAGGGGAAAACTGAAGTGTCAGCAGCAAAAGGGGACTGGAAGCTGCACTCCCCTCCGCCCCCCTTCCCCCCCCCCAGCCCCGTTTTAAAAAATGTTTCAATATAAAACCCAAAGTCCCTAAAAGCTCAGTTTCCCCTAGATGAGCTGGAAGAGAAGGGGGGAGTAGAGAGCCCCCTGTCCGTCTGTGCCGCAGTCAGACACACCGTAATCCCTGGGACTTGATTGTGCCCGACATAGGACTGCCTCCCTCCCCTGGCTCGCACGGCAGGTCTGGGTGACCCACGGAACACTCTCTGCTCTCTTTTCCTCGCAGCTCATTTCTGTGACGCCTCATTTCCATCCCCTACCTTTTCTCATTTCTTCCAACTAGTGTCGCGCGCTCCTGAGGGGCAGAGATCTGGGGTGACGGGGACAATCCGAAAGACCTGACTGCGGTGTCCCTGAGCACGGGGTCTTCAGAGTGACGCTGAACCTCTAATGCACCTGGCAATGACATTTAGTGAAACGCGACTCACAGTCCATTTAAAGGAAGACGGTGACCAATTATTCTCCATTTAAAAGGCTATTGTCAATCTCCAAAGAGCTGAAATGGCATTTGGAAATCATCCTGGGGACTGCAAGACAGAACCAATGCTCAGCCGACCTTTCCCCACCCTCCAACCCCCCCGTCGCCTTTAAAATTTAAAATCATACTTTAAAAAAATGGAATGAGAAGCAGCGCAATCCCAGGACACGTTTTTCTCATTCCAAAAGGGAGTCAGGAAAAATAGCTTCTAACTGACACACACAACTTAAAGAAATTGAAAACAAAAACAACAAAAAATAAAAGAAATATCACATATAATTTGATGGTCAAAGTAGTATTAACCAATAAGGATAATTTTTTTACAACTTTTACTCCATATTCTTTTCAAATGGCATTGGGGCAGTTGGAAAATAATTTTTAAAAAATTCTAATTCCACTTTATTTGAGGTACTTAGAGTAGTCAAATTGACAGAGACAGGAAGTGGAAGAGTGGTTACCAGGAGCTGGGTGGGGGGAGGAATGGGGAGTTACTGTGTAATGGGAAGGTGAAAGTGTTCTGGAGATGGATGGTGGTGATGGTTATACAACAATGTGAATGCACTTCATGCAAAAGAACTATACATAAAAAGGGCCGATTTCATGTTGGGTATGTTTTACCATAATAAAATGTTTTCCGATGGAAAAACATCTTAAGATAATCTTTATCATTTAATCAAATTTCCAAAGTCTCTAATTCCTAATAGTCTCTGTACCTATGTCCTTAAAAAATCGTTTAAATTAAAAACAAACAAAAAACTTGAATAATGCAAAATGAGACGTACCACACAAGCACAGTAAAGAACCCAATGCAGAGACAGGTTACATAGAGGCCAAGGTCACACAAAGAACTGCCACCAACCTGGCTCACCATTGACCCTTCCCCCACAACGAGAGCCCATAAAGGAGAGAAAACCAGAAGGACATCGGCAATCGCTGCTGCTTCTAGACCCCAAACCACAGCAACGCCTACACCCAAAGGCCTGGGGAAAAAGTCAAGAACACGTATGAAGGTGCTGACCATTAGAATTTAAAGGGACCTCAAAATCACCTAGTCCTACCAGTTGGTTTTACAGATGAGAGCACTGGTAGAGAAGGAGAGAGAGAGAGAGAGAGAGAATGAATACAACCCTATTCAAGTACCTGACAGCTTCATGAGAAAATCAGACGCCATCTTAACAGAGATGTCCTGGCTGAACAATGCTGACGCACTGTTGGCCACATACTCGGAGGGGTCTTTCAGCTTTGTGTGGTTGGCCGGCCTGTCGGCAGCATTCAGGGGAAAGGAGGCTGGCAGGCCGTTATCTTCCTTGGGCTCCTCCTTCACCAGCAAAGGCGAGACGCCAGCCCCACCCTGGCTAGTCCTCTCTGGAGTGCTGGCCGGCATCATGGTCCCCACTAGCTCTGTCCCTCCTGCTTCCCTGTGCTGCCCCAGGCAGGCACTGTCACTGAGGTGGGGCGATCCCTTGACATCTGGGTCTGGGATCTCCTCCTTCACCTTGGCTTCTGTCCTCAGGAAGTGCTGGTGGCAGCGCATGTGGAGCTTCAGGCTGAAGTGGCGCGAGGAAGTGAAAGGGCACAGCTGGCACTGAAAGGTCTCTCCCCGGTCCTGGTGCTGATGAACCTGGCGGAGAAGCAAGAACAGTGAGCCGTCCACCGCGTGCTTACGGGAAACGCCTGGCTGTGGGTGCACCCTCGTCATCAACTAGTCTCCGCACCGACAAAGGGCTGGCCCGGGGAATAAATAACCAGAGGGGAGCATCTCATGACGGCGCTCCGAGTGATGAGGTCACCCCGAAAGATAAAGTGGGTCCATGTCGGGGAAGAGTCCGCTAATAGAGCCGGGCTCACGATGGAGGTGCTGTCGCCCGTGGAGGCCGTCCAGGGTAGAATCCTCTGAAGGGTCTAGTCATCCGATCTCACTCAGTGTCTTCAGAGAAAATATTATAAACCCAGCAGAATGCACACTTACCTAATTACTAGTTGGGGGTCAAAAGAGGTCACCTGTTACGTAATTCCTCTCTTAATGATAACGCTTTGCGTGTTCCCAATGATTGTCGCCCAGAGAGATGAGTGATGTTTTGCAAAAGTAATTTCAATTTTTCAAAATGCTTCTCTAGGTAATTAAGAACGTGGAAAATAATGGCTCTAGGGTATTCCCATTTCGTAGACAGTGAAATTGAGACCTGGGATGGAGTGGCTTGAAGTTAATAAATGACAAGTGAAGAAAGTCAAGTGGGTGTGTGGGGAGAACCACGGTCTGGTCCCACCAAGGATTCTCAGCGAGACGAAGCCAGTGTTTCCCACCGTGGTGACCCTGTGCTCAGATCCTGAGATTTGCAGTAAAAGAGTGCCCGGCCGGCGTGGCTCAGTGGTTGAGCATAGACCTATGAACCAGGAGGTCATGGTTCGATTCCTGGTCAGGGCACATGTCCAGATTGTGGGCTTGATCCCCAGTAGGGGGTGTGCAGGAGGCAGCCAATCAATGATTCTTTCCTCATCATTGATGTTTTTCTCTCTCTCTCTCCGTCTCCCTTCTTCTCTGAAATCAATCCTATCCTATATAATAAAACCCAATATGCAAATTGACTGACGGCGGAATGCACCTTACCACCAGGGGGGCAGACGCTAAACTCAGGAGCTGCCTCCTAGTGGTCAGTGCGCTCCCACCGGGGGGAGTGCCGCTCAGCCAGAAAGCCAGAAGCCGGGCTCACAGCTGGCAAGCGCATCAGGCAGTAAAGAGCGAGGAATCCTGGACTGCAAGAGGGAGCAGGCTGGCCTGAGGGACCCCCACTCCCCCAGGGCATGAATTTCATGCACGGGACTCAAGTAAAAATATATTTAAAAAAAGAAAAAGAATGCAGGCTTTGAAATCCAGTTCATCTTGCTTGCACGTCACCTGTAAAAACTGAGAGGAGCTTTTTTCCCTTCCTGTCACTCCCAAATTTAGAGCTTGAAAAAGCAAGGAAATCATTGCATGGGCCCGAGCCAGGCTCCGTCCGAGCTGGCCGGTGCTCACAAGCTTGTTAACTCCCCTTTCATCTCTGCCAATGCCTCAGCGCTGACCTGCTGCACCCTGCTATTTCAGGACTGGCCCTCCCTGCGTCAAAACTGCCAATTGTGTAGATCTGGGCCAAATGATTTGGGGAGTTGCGTGCCCCGGACAAACAAGTCAGGGGTTGGAATTCAAAACCAAAACCAAACTGACACCCCATCTGTCAGGGGTGACCTGAGTGAGATTTGAACCCAGGTCTCCTGAAGGTTAAAAGCCAGTTCGTTAATCCACTGCACCACCTGGCCCCTCGGCGGAGGCTGCCTTTCCAAGAAAGCAAGTTTTACTACAGCTGTTTATGCATTCTGAATGCAATCCAAAAGTATTATTCACCAGCCAAAACATACTTTTAAATAATGTTAAGTGACCAACAAAAGCAAAGAAATTAAACGTTAATGGTGAGATCCTGTCGCCACAGCACCCCACTGTGGCTTTTTGAAAAAAACAACAGAAGAGATTCTGGGTCCCCCAAAGCATGACTTTCTCAACAGAAATCACCTTATTAACTTAACTTCAGTGGCAGCAAAGCCTTGCTCATGAAAGCCTTTCCCTACCAAGTCTGGGGGTGGGGGGGCGCTGGGCTGGGATGCCACACTGTCAACACTGTCACACCATCCCTGGCGGCGAACACCATCACCCCGCTCTGCTCTTTTTCAACAAAGGGACTGCACTCTGGAGCTGATGGGTTCATTTGTTTTCTCACTGAATTGTATGATTTCCTTGCCACCTCTCCACTCAATTCACGCAGAAGCAGGCACCCGGGGTCAGGTCACCGCCCCAGGAGACCCTGGCAGGTGCTGCCCACAGCCTGCCCTGCAACCAGGTGGTAAAGGTCACAAGGCAGAAAGCTCGGGGCGTCCCCGGGAGAATTCCATTTCCGAAGTGTCCTTACATCTACTGACCCGGGAGAGGACAGGAGCAAACCCAAGAACAGAAGCCCCCGAAGCAGCTTCTGGAAGACGGAAAGGCACCGGGAGTGAGCACAGGTTCTGGAGCCGAAGGGGAGCCCGGCTGGAAAAGAGTCCGCATGCAAGTGTTTACCAGGCGGCCTTCCCACCAGGTCCTGGCCTTGCTGCATTTAGTTGTGGGGAAATGTTAGTGACCGCTTTAAGGAAAAGCAGTGGATGTGGACTTGACTTTCTCACTCACAATTCTATTTGTCTACACCCTCCCAAAGGGGCTAGGGGCCACATTTGACCTTGGAGAGGTTTTAGCTCCAGCCTCTCCAGACCAAAAAGCGCTTTCTGTTACCATTTTTATTCTCTTTAGCTTAACACGGACTTCAAAGCACACTTGTCTGAAGCATGTCATTCTTTCCAGGCCACATGGTGGTGTCCTTACTGACTGGTCATTTTGCACGAAAAGCACATCCCCGCCCTAAGGGGTGGGACATGAAGGTGCTGTTATATCATTCGGTCCATCTCCTCAGTCGGATGAATAGGAGGAAACCTTGGGAAACATCTGCTCCACCGCCCTTGGGGGACCTGGCCAGCCGGCAAGGGCTTACCCACGCGTCCCAGCTCCTTAGAAGGCAGGCCCGGGACCAGCAGAGCTAGGTGCCCTGACTCTTGTCCACTCTCTTGCCACTCCTTCACCCATGTTCTTTATCTTAGCAGTCCTCCTCACCTTTTTCTGTCCAATTTCAGCTTATGAATGTCCTATTTAATCCCTGTATGCTCACTCATCCAGGAAAGTTGTAAAAGACTTAATGGAAGTCTAAGATAACCCCGAGGAAGCTGGAGGCATTTACATCTCCTTCCGCCGCTGCTCATAAAAAACACTTGCACGGTATACTGAAGGGGAAAGGCAGGCTTAGGAAAACACATAGTGCCCAGCACCCAGAACAGGCTAACACTATATGTGTTGAACAAACAAAGTGGAAACCCATTTTTTTTTCTTAAATAAATCCATATAATGAATATGGATAGAGTTGCATTAGAATTTCACTAAGGGTTAATTCTATGTGTGATGAGATTATGGGTCAATATTATATGCTTTTCATTTATCTGGTTTTTCTAAATTCTCAACATTAAAGATATATCATAAAAAGAGAAAAGCAATGAAATTCATTTTAGAGAAATGTTTTAGTCCATGTCACTAATTTATTTCTAAATGTAAATGTTAATATATATTCTGGTGGCTTTCAGGCAATAATTACTATATTAGCTACATTTACCTAGTGTTTCTCCACCCTGGGCTCTGTGTTAAGTGGCTCATGTCCATTATCTCGTTTAACTATTATAACAACTCCATGAGACAGACCGCATGATTAGTATCTCCATGACCAGAAATGGAAGCTTGAGAGGTTAAATGATTTGCCCAGAGTCGCACAGCTACCAAAAGTCGTGGAACTGAGATTCTAACTAAGGTTCTTATGACCACATGAGATGTTAATCTATAGGCTATGCTGCCCCCACTTCTTCGGCAGAAATTGTTTTAGAAAATCTCTCCATCTTTGTAATCTCTGGTCAAGGCAGCTGAGGCTCTCTCCTCCAAAAACCATAGCCGTCCTGTTTCCCTGTGGACTCTATTTTCAAAATGTAGCCAAATTCAAGTACGTCCAATGAAAATAAAACCATGAATTGATTGAAGAATTAAAAAAAAGAAGAGAGAGGCCCATGAGTGAGGTGTAGAGCAGAGAAAAGAAACAGTACACCGTTTGATAAAATTAAACTTGTATGAGCCCTTCTCACACTTCCCTTATCAAAAGCTCAGTTGGAGCTCAACAGGTTAGGACACAATGAGTGTGAATAAAGTAGTAATTTCGCACACAGCTTTATTGTACTGGTTATTGATTTGTTCTGAAAGCCTTCTAAGACCCCACGACCCGCAAAGCCCTCGCCACTCTCATCAGTAACACTGTCATGGCCGACTGTCTGTATCATCAAGGCACCCAACTCATCTCCCTGTAGTTTCAGGGTCAGTAGTTCCTGCTCTTGAAAACCCAGCTTTTTTTTCCACGGGTTTATAAATAGGTTGTTTTAAGTGACCCTGAGCTGAAACCAAGCTTACAAGGTGTCAGGCAAGATGCAAGTTTTCTGCTCACTGAAGCTTTAAATTTGCCAGACCTGACTTCTGAACGCAGTGTAGGGCACAGTCACGAAAACAAATTTTAGTTTTAAAGACGTTTCTTTTGAAGTCTCATCCCGCTAACGAAATCCACTTTGCAGGTGTAAAATATGAGATTTTACTTTGGGAAGAGGTGATGGAGGATGAGGAGGGTTAAAGTAAAAACTAAGCAGGCTCACTAAAATTCAACCAACCAGAACGCCTGGTTAAATGGATTCTGAAGATGAAGGGCATGCCACTCCCAGGAGAAATAAAAAGGCAAATGATAGAAAACAAATTACACCATGGATTTAATTTTTTTTAATCTTCTGAGCTATTGCCTAAAGTCAATAGAGGTTCCGTCTGATCATACTTTGTCAGAGCTACAATTCTTAACAGTGATTACTAACAAGATTTAAAATAAAGCAAATTCTTAATTATGTACATACACTATACTTCTTACGGCAGGAAAGTAAGAACTTTATAAACAACATCAACAGTCAAACCATATTGAAAATATCAATAAAAATGACTTGTTATTATTAAGGTGTTAGATGATAGTTGTTGAAATTACATACCTATTAAAGAACATTCCTGTGTCAGATACTTTACTAATATTATCTCCTTAAATACTAATAACAGCTCTTCTCAACATTATTGTTCCCATTTAACAGATGATAAAATTAAGTCTAAGGGCTCATTTGCTCAAGGCCACTTAGCTAGATAATTGCACAATAAGATTTAAATGTGGGTCTATCAAATTCAAAAGCACACGCTCTTTTGATCTCATGAGTTTCTTCCTTGAATTTCAGACAAAACCCTTAGTATTAGTGGAGCTTGCTAAGTCTTAGACGACTAAGTTTTCCCCCATCTCACTTGAGTGACACGTAGACTCTATTTAATGTCTATTACAGGTGCAAGCCAAACTGTTTTCAATAGGACATTGAAAACAAAATCCTTGCATGTTGGGTAAGTGGGTTCTTGGAAATTATGACAGCTTAAACCCTGACAGCCTTGGGGAGGACTCAGTCTTGTCAGGAATAGCCCTGAGCCCTCCACAGGGCTAGCGTTGAAGCCCAGGCATCCTTTAGTGTCCTCCCACCTCCTATAAGGTGTTTCTGGGTGTTCCCTGGGTTTGTAAGCAGAAGAGGGCAGTCTCGCCAGGAAGGGGAGCCGGTCCAAGCACCCTCTCTTTGGGCACAGGTCCAGTAGCCCTTCCTGTACTCTTTCTGCCCCTCCAGGCACCCCAGAAATGCATCACCATGCAAGGCCAGGTTAGGCTGCTGCTCCCCAAAGAGGGGTGGCTCTCCACCACGTATGTTATTTGGATATTGAAGCTTCTCTCTGTTCCTGGTTGTAAACTGGAAACGAAGACCTTCACAAGAAGACTCTTTGCAAGGTGCTTCATTTCCATTGCATTCTACCTTGTAACCTTGAGCACTGTCATCCACAAAAAGCCCCTCTCGTGCTTGGAGGTACCTGCCTCATCGGAAGGGTTGTCTGCGGCTGGCTTACCTTCATGTGGGATTTGAGATTGTCCTTGCGAGCACACCGGAATGGGCAGAGCGGGCATTGATGACTTTTTAAACCTGTGTGAATCACCATGTGCCGCTTCCAGTAGCTCTTCCTTTTTATAACCAAACCACATATTGGACACTGGAAAGGCTTTCCGCTTTCCTCTTCTGAGGCTTGGAAGAAAGAGAAAGGAAAATTAAGGAAAACGAAAAGGCACACTGCATCCAGCACTAATTCACATGCATTGCTATATAAAGAACACTAAAAATGACTTGATTTTTTTCCCCCTGGCAATCTCAAGACTTTATCCAGGAGGTTTTCTTGCTGCTTTTCTTCAGGAACAAGCCCACATTCATCTCATGACTTCCATCTGGGTTCCATTTTTCAAAATCTGACTGCCCTGCCTTGTGAAAGTGTAACTTCCGAAGGCCATCCCACACTTAGGAAGACATCTGCAGAGGGACGTCGCTAGGCCTGTCCTTGCTCAGCCCAGAGTAGCCTCAATTCAGGGACTTTGTTTTCTGAAGGAAGCTGCCAGACTCAAGTCCATCTATGGATTCCTGAACTTGGAAAATGGCAAGAAATAAAGACAAATCAAACGGGACAGAGAAGAATGCACTGTAGCACAGCAGAAACCTAATGGCCATCGTCAACCTCACACACCGACTCCGTGGAGGCAGATGTT